CAACTGGCTACAGAACAGAGTCTGTCCATACGGGTCTGTGGTAAAAATGCCCGTGCTCGGACCGAACTGAGTTGCACTCCTATGAACTCGATGACCTGTGAAGGAGTGAGACAGGATTTTTCGGTATTAATAAGGAGCCCCAAGTCCTCCAGAAGGGTGCAAGTAATGTCAATGTCTGTACCAAGTTGGTCCCGAGAAGGGGAGACGATAAGTCAATCGTCTAGATATGGATAAATTTGAATACCTCGTTGACGAAGGTGAGCACATATCAGAGCCGTACACTTTGTAAATACCCTGGGGGCTGTGGCAAGTCCGAAGGAAGGACATTATATTCAAAAATGTCGGAGCCAACTGTGAATCGGAGAAATCTCCTATAAAATGGGTGGATACCGATATGGAAATAGGCATCCTTCAGATCAATAGACGCGAACCAATCTTCTCTCTCTAGCAGGGGGAGGATATTTTGTAAGGTGGTCATATGGAATTTCTTAGTCGTAATAAAGGCATTGACGCCCCTCAAGTCGAGTATGGAGCGTAAGCCACCAACTCTCTTCGGTACCATAAAATATCTCTAGTAGAAACCGCGAGGTCCGTCGGATCGCTCCCTTCTGAGGTAATTGGGATACTTCCTCTCTAAGAATTTCAGATGGTGCAGTATATAGCATCGGACCCAAAGGAGGGATGACGTCGAACTCGATTCTATATCCAAATTCAACTACGGAAAGGACCCATTTGTCAGATGTGATGGTCTCCCAAAGAGGGAGTCAGCTTTGCAGCCAGCCCCCATAGGGAGGGGGGAGGGGTGTAGGAGAGAGAGGATCGGTTTGCAATGCCCATCAATGCTGCCTCTTATCGGCGGGTTGGTGGCGGTGGCCCTGTTGATATTGGGCGGCTGGTTGCATACAGTTCCGCCGCTGTCACTGGGGGAATTGTTGACATGGCTGATAACGGTGATAAGGTTGGTACCTAGGGAATCAAGATTGATGCCACTTATGACGGTTCGAGCCCGGGATCTCCATCTTCCTGGCGGTAGCCCGAGCATTATAAATATGCTAGAGCATATGATCTGTCCGATCATGGAAAAAGCCCAATCCGTCGAACGGCATCCCCTTATCTGTCTCTTGGTTTCCTCCGGGAAGTTACACGATTGTAGCCAGGCATGCCTTCGGAGAGTGACAGAGCCAACTAGAGCGCGGGAATCGCAATTGACATGATGGAGGGCTGTGGTGAGCTGTTGGATTACGAGCTGCATGGTCTCCCGTATGAAGACTCAGGCCAGGTCCTGTTGTTGCTCTGGGACGGAAGAGGTGATCAAATCCAGCTGCTGCATCAGGAAATACAGATACCTCGCCATCGTCACCTCATAGTTAGAGATTCTCAGGCCCAGTCCCATAGTGGCGTAAATTCACCACGCCATAAGGTCAATTTTCCTTCCTTCCTTCCTTGTCCCTAGGGACCGAGTGCTCCCTGTTGTCTTGTCACTGGGATGATTCGACCACAATAGAGTTGGGCTTCGGGTGTTTCAAGAGGAAGGGAATGTCTTACTCTTTGACTTTGTACATGGACTTGTACCTTCTAGATGTAGACTGAAGTTGGTCAGGAGAAGTCCATGTATCCTCCATAGCCTCCCGCAAGGTTGTAATCAATGGGATGGTAATAGTGGAGGATTGTTCTTTCCGGACAATATAAAAGTTGTCCTTATTAACGATGGGCTGATGCTCAACCTCGATCTCCAAGGCTCTCGTTAAGCGGCCCATAAGCTCGCCGAAAGTAGCGTATGACTCTTCGGGCAACCCAGGTCCCTGGGTGGAAATGACTGCCGCAGGAGATGTGGAACAATCGTCGGAGTCCTCAGAGTCTTAGTCATATGGGTAAGGTGGACTTGAGGATGATTGTGCCAGTGAAGGAGGATGGCAAGAGGTTGCCAGTACCAGAGTAAAGGGGCTTCCGTCCTTGTCTGTTGGGACCAAGGGCCATATTCCCTTGGCATGTTGTAGCCATATGGAGGTGGTCCCCAGTATTGAGGCTGTGAGGCTTCCGGCCCTTCATACGGCATTGGGACCCATGATCTGGTGGATTGTCCTGCTGAGCGTCGATGCTGGTTGGCTTCAACCACGGTGGTCTTCCTGGGAGCCTCTGGAGAGGATGGCATTGGGGTTGGAGAGCGGGCCGGTTGATGGCATGGCAAAGACCTTGGAGGAGAGTCACGGATCTCTCCATCCGACATCGACCCATGAACAACCGCTTTGGGTGGATGTAGCATAGTCGGGACCGCAGGCTTGATCCTCTGCGGGGATCTGGGCGGCGTGACCTGCATCAGCTCTCTTGGTGTTGGTGCCAAGGGTGTTGGTACCGATGGTGCTGTCTGAACTGACAAGGTGGTTCAATCCGAATCCCTTCGTGATTCCGGAGCGGGCCTATGTTTTCTGCTGGTCTTGCCCGACTTACCTTTTTTGGCCTTCTTCGAGACCGACGGATCCCCGTGGTCGGAATGCTTCTGCTTCTCCTTTTGAGTAAGGAGTGGGAGGAACAAGAAGTCTCCTTGGAAGCAACTCCCCCGGATGGTCGGGGGGAGGTCACCATGGAAGGGCCAGCCGATATAGCTGAGTGGTGAGCTTGTCAGAGGCTAGTAGGGCTTGATCCCAAAGGATCTTTCTCAGCCTATTCTTTCGGTTCTTCCTGGCCTGTTTGGTGAAGGCCTGGCAATGCCCACACTTATCAGTGCGATGCCCCTCTCCTAAGCAGAGGAGGCAGAGCTCGTGTGGGTCCGCTGGGGACATTTTAGCCCCGCATTTCGAACACTTTCGAAACGCCGCACGCTGAGCCATCGAAAAGATCGGAAGAGGAATAGTAAAGGGAAGAGGAAAAAGAGAGATACTAACTATTATTATTATATTACTATTATTACTATTATTACTATTATTACTATTATTATTATTATTATTATTATTATTATTATTATTATTATTATTTTAGGAAAATAAGGAGGAAAGAAATAACTGGGAAACAAGGGGAAATAACTTGTATTCAACTGGAGAAACAATTAGAGAAACAACCAGTAAGTACGAGAAGACAAGGTAATGGCTCGAGGCAATGCAATCGGCGGTTGAAAGAAGACTGAGGAAAATGGTGGGCACTCCGCCTTATATAGCACCAGGGGGGAGGGGTGCGGAATTCCTGCCAAAAACCATTGCAGCTTGGGTATTCTGGCCCGCAACACACACTGCGCAGGCGCAGTGTCCATTATGTGTGATGCACAGAGACCACGATGAAGCACAAGCAGTTGGGGGTTAACCATCAGCCTCCTGCCCACAAATTCTATCCTGAAATATTGTACACACATTAAATGGGACATGTCTACTTAAGACACATGTTTGTCCTATGATAATGCATAATCCTACCCAAGAAAGCTCTCTGTATTTTGGCTAACCACACACTCTGCTGGATAATCTTTTCTTTTGAAGATAAGACCTTCCTGGAATTCTGACACTAGCTATAGTGCCAATATCTCTATAGTGTCACATTCTCAATATCTAACAGTCACACTTCTAGGCACTCTTCTGAAGATGAGCAAAACTCAAATAGCTGTATTTCCTTGGAGTAGTGGAGGAATGTACATATATTTTCTCCTTTTGTCTTGTAGTTTTATTTACAGTTATGTTATAAAATGATTTAAAGTATCACTAAATATTATATAAAATGTTTAATTTATATAATTACATGAAATGTTCTGGATTGTTAACATGTATTGGGTGGTTCCTGTCCTAAATGTGACTGTAATATACATGGAAAGCCTAACTTTAATGAGGAACTCACAGAGCCACCCTACAGGAAATGCATGGAAATTCCTCTTCTACATTTATAATCTAAATAAGATTACCTGATGTCCTGTTTTGAAATGGGACCATGAATTGATTCTTATATTACATGCTAAAGTATCTATAGATTTCTCAGATACCATTGCCACAGAATGAATTGGTTGAGCAGCCTTCATTAACAGGAAGATAATGTCTAAGAGTAAGAGTTGACTTCTTTTGTGTTAGGTATTGTCAGTGCTGTTTATCAGGAAAGACAGCTAAACGAAAACTGTGAAGCAGTAAATTTTAAAGAGGGCCAAAGGGAACCAAAGAAATGAAGAGTGCCAAACAAAGAAGCAGCAATGACAAAGAGCATTTGAGAATTAGAGAGAAGCATGAAGAGGTTTCCATCATGAGATAAGAAGAAAATGTGGTACATCTGGGGAAATGTGATATCTTTAGGAAAAGCAGATAGACTAGGAACATTCAATATCTGTCCACCCAACATTTTAATGTGCGTTAAACCAAGCTCTGTTTACAGACAGCTTTTCACAGGAAAAACAAATTTAAACAGTAGGGTTGGGTGCAGGCTTAGCTATTAACATACTTGTACGACTAATTCCTGATTCAACCCACACTTGATCTAGCCATAAATAAATATTATATATGAATATTTATGTGCATGTATTTGGGTGAAACTACAAAAGTTCCACAATACTTTCTGAGATCAAGGAATCTTGATCTACTTTCACTGTTGAATGAAGATTTAGGTCTATACACACTAATTTTGAAGCAGACAGGAAACTTGTATGATTCATCTCTGTATAGTCTTACATTAACACTGGGAATAATTAGAAGCCACGATTTTACATATTTTCACACTACTAGTTCCTCACAAGAATAGTTCTGCTGGACTAGAACAAAGGCTTACCTACTTCAGCACTTGGCACAAGCATGAATGCATCACTAAATAGAATGGAATGTTCTGAGATACCATGTAATAAGAAAAGCAAATCACCTTTTCTTCAGAAGACTACACATCTATATGCTTTTCAGACAAACATAAAAAAATTAACATGGTGACAACTGGTTCTGGGTAACTGGCATTATTCTGAATTACTGAAAAATAGTTTTAGGTTAATAAAATGATGAGCAGAAGGTGAAAGAAAAGTAAAAATTAATATATCTAGATATGACACTTACTGTTGCTTGTCGTTGCAGGATATCCAGCGTTTTGACCGTTCCACCCCCTGATATCTCCTGGCTGATGGGGATAAATAAGAGAAGAAGAGACTGCATGCTAAAAAAAAGCATATAAAAGCTATAGACCAATTAATGATACAGAGGGGTGGGATGGCTTTGAACTAGGGATGCACATTGAATTGCTAAAGTCCTGCTAGATCAGTCCAAAATTCCATCTACTCCAGCATCTTATTGGCCAATCAGATATCTTTAGGAAACCACTAATGTAACATGAAGGCAATGACCCTTTGATGTTGCTGCTCCCCAGTACTTGATACTCAGAAGCAAACTGAGAGACAGTGTGGTATAGTGGTTAAGAGAACAGGACTGGGATTCAGGAGATCTGTTGTCTAGTCAGTCATGGAGTTAGCTGGATGACTTTCAATTGAATCGTCAATCAAATACTCTCAGCCCAACCTACTTCACAGGTTGTTGTGAAGATAAGATTGCGAGAAGAGAAAAATTATGTAAGCTACATTGAGTTCCTTGAAAGGAAAAAAAATAGGATATTAAAATAATAAATAAATAGCCTCTGAATCTGAATCTTATGTACAGCCATCACTGTGAATACTAGGTAAGAGTTAGTAACTAATTCTACTAAGAATTTTTTTTTTTTGCCATGAATCTGTTTAATCTTTTTAAAAAGCCAAATAAGCTAATGATCTCCACCACTCCTTGTGGCAACAAATTATGTACATTAAATTATACACTATGTGAAAAAGAGCTACTTACTGGGTGAGTTAGCAGAGATGCTGCACCATCTGTAAATAAGCCACAGTGGTTGCCCAAAAAGCCTACAACATGCCCAACAGATAGCTGGGCTAACTGTGCCTTGTTTTTTGTCCACCTTTGCTCTCAGTCCTTCAGCTGGTGTCCTAATGTCCTTCACAGCAGAACTGTGTTTTGTTTCCCCCTTCCCACTCCATGTGCTATTTCTTTTCATTTGCCATGTTTTCTCCAGGGCTTGACAAAGTGTCGTTTTTTTCAGGGTAATTTTTCCGCCAGAAAATTGTGCAGCTGTGTTTGTAATTTATTTCTTTTTTTCTTTTTTATTTTTTTGGGGGGTGGAGTGATGGTGGTTGGCCTTTTGGAAGCACAGAAGTGCATTCTTATGGCTGTGCAAGCTTGCCTGGTCACTGTTCCTCTAAGTTTCAGCTGCTGAAGAAAGCTAAGTGCAGTTGGCAATATAGACGGAAATTTATCAGTGTTCCGTAAAGGAGCCACAAGTGGGCAAGTAAGAATGCTGAGAACTACCAGTCCCACACTAGAAATCCAGAAAATTGCATTTCTAAGGGAAGATGTTGATACCACTTATTTGCTCTTTCCTGGTGATTTTTCATCTGACAGCTTGGCAACTGTGGCAAACCAGTGATGGTCACTCCAAAGTGCCACTTGCACATCCGTAGAGCAGTTGATGCCACAGACAAGACTACAATGACCCTTACAAAAAGGTTTCCCACTCTTATTGAGCAACTTGCTAGACACTCCCTGAAATACATGGTGGAACTGGTCCCTGGGTTTAGATGATGTAACAACCCATCCTCAGTCCAAGAAGCCCTAGAACAAGCCATGAGTGACAACCCACCATCACTAATAACTCACAATGAGTTGCTATGTCAGGCAAATCCAGTGACTATCACTCCTAAATATCCCGTCAATCAATTTCATTGGATGGCTCCTACATCAAGCATGATGAGATGCTGATAGTCAGTCAACAATTCTAAGCTAGATAGAAGTACAGCTTCCTATATTCCTTTAGAAACTTCCTTAGAGGCTGAAATGAAACTACCTCTTCTAAATCCCATCAACAGAAATGAGCTCTTACAACACAGTGAATCTGCCATAATGCTTGATACTTCCATGATCTAGGGTGAAGATACTTATCAACTGTAACTTGCCCCAGAGCACCTGAGGAATTGCATCTTTCTAAGTAATTTGTATCCGCATGTTTTCCTATTCAGGACTTGCACTTTTATAATGTTAGAGAACATATGAAATGTAGTGATATCAGGTGCTCAGCCTTCTGTAATGTATGTGAATATAACAGACAACATGCCTGGAATGAGCAGTTTAGCTACGGTCTTCCACATTATGCAAAATTTCATCTCAGATTTATAGTCACTAGTGTATTCTGTTCACTGCATTCTGCTCTGGGCTATCCAAGGTTACTGGATGAAGTTCAGATAGCAAAGAACTGAAGGCATTACCTTATGACCAGCTTTTCCCACAACCACACACACAAACATAAGCAAGCTAAGATAAAATGTTAATGTTACTTTTTGTTTAGGAAACATCGATCCAAAGCAGAATAACTATATTTGAATTTAATTTAATTCACAGTTAAATTAAAATTGAAGATGCATATGCCAAAAATTAGGTCATCTGGCCTTCAGAGAGCTAAGTTTTGCTTTTGTTTGCACTCAAAGGAGCATAGCCATTACTGCCCAAACCTGTTTTGGTTGCTGCAAACTGGAGGTTAAATACTGTATATTCACAACAAAATTACAGTGAGCAGCTTTGGTAGGAACAATAGGATCAAATATTTTTTGAATCTTAGATCCTTAAATAACAATGTGTTAACAGAGTGTGAGACATGCTCCCTCTTGTATCACATCAAATTCTTACCTTTTCTAGCTGTTCTTCAAGGAGAGAAGAGGCCTTATAGCCAAGCTGTAGCAACATAGCCTCAGCTGCATTTCTTTTTGCTATTTTCTTGTTTGGGCCTGTTCCTGTTGTAATTTCATTTCCCACTTTGACCTAACAAAATAGAGAGTGTGATGCTAATGGGCAGCTTTCAAACACATCCAATCAATTAAATAAATAAAAAAGAGAAAAAATGAAATAAAATCACCATTTCAGTCCATATAGCTAATGATGCTGGTGACCATTTAGCTTTTGCTACATTTGGCATTAAAAACTTGAGGACTTTTTTTTTTACATTTTGTGACAACACAAATAAGGTTTTTCCAGTCTTGATTCACAGGGGGAAATAGGGTTTGCCTCCAAGAAGCCAGGGAATTAGTAAGGACAGGGGAGAGAGTTTTTAAGTGTATTAGAACCAAACTTAAATATCTGAGATTTTCATATTAGTGTTCCACTGACTCAGGGGCCGGGGTTGGTGAATCAAATGTTAAATGGAAAAAAGATTTCCATGTTCAACCTCTGTTCACCCACAAAATTAACTGATGATCTTAAGGAGTCATCATTACAACCCTGCTGCCTTTCTCCACATTAAAATATTACATGAGGAAAGACAGAGGCACACTACCAAGAGACATCACTCCATCCTATCACCTGTCCCTCTTTTATAATAGTCCACAAGCTGAAATGCAGATGTCTGAAACTGAAAATATCCATGTGTAGAGGAGGTTTCCACTGCAGAAGTTTGCACTTTAACTTGCGCAGTATTGCAAACAATGGGAAGGTAATGTACAGGGGCTTCCTAGTGTGCCCCAATCTTCCTTGATTATTTGATGAAAACACCTAACAAGGCCTAAAAAAAAAAAAAAAAAAAAAATTCAACCTAATTCTCCATCAAATACAGCTCACAATTTGGTTATGAGAACAAAATCGGGCGAGGTAGATTTACAGGGAAAATAGACTAACCAGTAGAAATGTTCAGAACATTGTTTAATTTAATATATATTCTCACAAGTACATTCATCATGAGAAAATGAGTAATCACTTGTAAATAATTCATGCATTTTAAAAAACTGAAACAAATCTCATTCCTTTTCTGTTTATTAATTAAAGCAAAATAGATACTACATAAAAGAGAATGCTTTGATGTAAAATTCTATTCAATTCAGCTAAGTCATCCTGACCAATGGGAGAAGAATTTAATAAATAATAAATAAAACAGAAGCGTTTTATAAGCAAAAGTATGATCAAATAATTTCGCCATTCATGATGTTTTGATAGCTGCAACACTCTGAAAATGTATCAGAAAGTAAGTTCCACTGAACTCAAGGGGCTTACTTCTGAGCAGACATTTGCAGAATATAAGTGAAATAAAATTTAAAAAACAAAAGTGAAAATTCATTGCATGATGCATGAAATGCTATTTCTCAAACCTGTAAAGCTGGTTTAGGTATTATTGTAACCTCTATCAAGGATTAAAGGTCTGACTACAAAGAAAGAGTTTTCTGAAATTAACTTTGGGAACAGAACACCAACTAATGTCATCAGAGGTTTTCTTCTGTTTATATAATGGTCAGCATAAGTAACTGGATCCATTTCATCACATCTAAACTTGCTCTTTGTGTGACAGATAAAAATGAACATATTATCTCTAGATACTTTACTTCCACATTCAATTAAAACAAATGAAAACACAGTTTAACTACTTTATACAAAAAACATTTTACTTTGATAAGTTTTTGAAGGCTATAATAAATCTACTGGGACTTTGTCTCTATCTAACATGACAAGATTTTAGAGAGAATTTCTTGAAAACAGTATCATATGTCTTAGACTATAAAGTTTATTTACAACCATTAAAAAGATGAAACTGAAAGCCACAGGTTCGAACTAAAGTTAAATAATGTTAAGTTCTGTTGATTTCAATAGGAAAGACTCAAATATGTGCTGCCTTCTTCCATGGAAATCAACAGGAACTGAAAATGCTAAACTTTGGCTGAATACATGTCCTTATGGGTAAATCATAAGTTTGCTGAATTCACAGAATGCAGCTATGTATCTTGCTATTCCTTAAATATTTTCAGGTACCGTAGAGGAATTCTTACTAAAAAGACTGTGTGTTGTGAATGTGGGGTGTGTTACCTGATTGCCACACTACTACCAGCATGGAAAATGATACCCCTATCTCCATGTAACTAGGGGGAAAGTGTTTCTGTTGGCACCAATTAGAATAACAGAACACTTTTTTTTGGTAAATTATCATTATTAATATCAGGCATGGATCCTAACTAACACTCTGCTGGCAGGAGCACTGGGACACTCCAAAAAGGCAGGAACCAATTGCTTATTTCCTTTCTCCCTTGTTACCCAACAAAAACTGCTCTAGAGGATTAAAAGACCTGCTACAATAGTTTGTGTATGCATATCTGTGATGGTTGTGAATATCTATGAATCATGGGATTATGCAGACAGAAAGATAAATTAGAGAAAATTTATCTATGCTCCTCCAACTGACATGTTCCTTGGATTTAAGGCTCTTCCTTTGACAGAAGGCATTCTCCCAACCAAGAAGAGAAATCAGAACCTAATCCATTATTGTTAATAAACTGGTTAAAATCTTTAGTTCTGAACCAAAAATACATATGTTACTAAGATTTCCAGCTACTTATAACATATAAAAAGGTGTGCTGATGCAAACACAAAATCAAAGTTAGAACTTTGTACTTGCACAATTTCCAACCCAAGTTCTTAACTGTAAGGTTCTATCTTATTTAGGTTCAATCCTGAGCATGTTTATAGAAGAATAAAATCCTATAGTTCCCAGCATGCCCCAGACAAATAATCTACTGAAGTCAAATGGATGTACTTCTGAGTGAATATATTACAACTTTAGGGTAAATATACAGAATGTTCTCACACTGGATATTCATACTAATGCACATTTTTACAATTGTCTGTTTAAAAGTGTATTTTTTAACAAAGAAAACATAACTATGTGTAAAGCATGAGGGAATTGGTATAGATAATAAAAACAAACAGGTCAAATATGACAAAAGAAACACAAAACCAAAGTAAACATTTTAGAGCATGAATAAGGAAACAGATCTGTGCTAAGCTCATTAATTATATGTGTCATGGATAGGAAACTGTTGACTCATAGACACTCTGAAGCTGTTTCTATAAACCCCACAGAGCTATTTTCAGTATTCATCTTAATGGTCCCACTAGATTCTTCTTACCTCTAGAGAAAGACAGATTAAAATATAAAGGCTTGATATTGTGACAGATATGGCATTTCAGGGAAATAAGGCCACAGCAAACAAAGAAGGAGAAGAAGTGTGCTGCTGAACCCCAGCTGGGTGAATATTAGCAGCTGAGGAAATGGATGCCTTTACTTCTTGTCATTTGAACATCAATCCACAAAGTGGAAAACATTCACCCTATGATAGTACAGCTTGTTTCATCAAATTACTTCTATAACAAAAAGCACTCATTTGTATACAACTGGAGATACCTGAATAATAAATTCTTGGCGACAAGGCATCCCTCTTTCTGAAAGAAGAAGATATTCCGGTTCCTTCTCTCTTTTGACTTGTTGAATCTGAGCCAAACGGCTTATAGGGTTCATTCCTTGACAATATTCTGATCCTGTCTAAAGTAAATTAGAAATGAAACAGATTTTTGTCATTGTGTAGACGTTTACAAAATATGTTCCTTTACAAAGGTGGTTTCTCATCACTTCCCTTTCCAGCATGTTGTGGTTATATCCATGGGGTAACTCCTGGAGAGATTCCCCTTATACCAGTTCCCCCTCAGACAACTACTTTTGTCACATTTTCACCTGTATGGAGCATCTTGTTGATGGAAAAGGTTTTGCCAAATAAGTAGTTTTATAGAAACAGAACGATGAAGTAAACAGTGCTTCCCACTTCAAAATGACAGAGATGGGGTGATCATGATTTATCACACACAAATGACTTGGCCGGTAGTATTAGAGAGAAGCAGTAAACAGAACAAATGTAAATTTCAGATTTTCATATACATATTTCTGAAGGAGGCACTACACTAGGTTAGGGCTAAGGTTATCCACTATTACAGTATGTTGCTAGAATAAACCTTGTAAACTTCACGATGGGCAAGGCGAGAGAGGAGGATTCTCGAAAGGAGAATCAAAAGGAATATTGGGTCGGTCAAGCAAAAAGTAAGGTCTAATGCAGGTCTGGTCAAGGCCTTGATTAAAAAACTGGAGAAAAAAATGAAATAAAACTGACACAAGAAGTAACAATTGTTGCTTGGCAGCCACCATTGCTGCTTGGCAGCCACCATTAGTAGTTTCAGAACTTTGTGCACTGTTTTAGCTAGACAAAGTAGGAGTAGTTCACTTGCACAGAGAGTATAATTTTCTGGTGCTCTTGCAGGCTCAAGTCCTGTGCTACCTGAATGGTTTTTTTCCAGAACCCTAACCCCTATCCCTCCTTCTTAAAGTCCACTAAAGACTGGTATACACTACACACAGCATAGCAGAGGGACTTTTCAAAGTAATTTCTTATGTCCACTTTCTTCACCAATAGAACTTCCCAGATTTGCACTATGACCGGTATCTTATTGATTCTGCAGTCACCCTGAAAACATTTCAGTTTTCCAAAACATCCTTTAAATTCCAGTTTGTTCTCAATGATACAAGCCACTTTGAACAGAAAACTGACACTTCTTATATGTTTTGCCTATTTCAATCCTTAGAAAAAAAACTGTGAGGTTGGTGAATTATGCTGGACCGTTACACAGACAGGAAAGGAGAAAGGTCATAGAGATTAGCTTTCTTAACATTACAGACAAAAAACAAGATCGAAAGATAACTTGACACCCATCCCTCCACCCCCAGACAGCCTATATAAAGCCTCCTGCATGACAAATTAAGTGTAAGGAAAGTGCTTGCTTGGAGCAGATAGCTATCAAAATTAATAGGGAGGAAGTGTGTGCTGGGAGTAACATGTACAGGGAGATTAAGGCACACACTAATTTATCTGATCCCACATGTGTTTGGGTCATATGCCACAATAATCAAGAAGAATTTAAGTGACGTATAAACAAAGCTTGCATATATCAGTAAGGCTTCAGCAACTGATTTGTAAAGGAGCTAAGCTAGAGAAGTTAAATTTAAGCCATTCGCTTGACATTGGTTAGGGACCATTTCACTATTAAATATTAAACAATGAAGACTAAAGAATAAATATGGCACTAAAAGAGAGACAAACACAATAAATATAGTTTAAGTAAAATGGGTTATCTTACCAATATGTAACCTATACATATTGTGACAATTCACACACAAAATAAATAAACAAAAGGAACCTCTCATATATCAAAGCCTTATTCTTTCTGACCCTAATAGTTCCATTATTAATAGAGTATTTTTATCAGCAATGGATGAAAACATTATCATATAAATGATACACCCAGAAGATTTAAGGATATTTTCTCTCATTAATTTTTGTAGCACTGAAGAAGCATACATCTAAAGTATTTAACTATGTTTTGTTGATCAAGTTGGCCTGTTAAACTTAAAAGTCCTCTAAAGTTTAAAAAATCTAAATTACGAAAGAACGAGATTTGCATTGCACAGCTATATGTAACTTAACAAGGTGTAAGGAGACAGCACTTGTGGTCAAATAGTTTTAACTGCTTTACTACATAATTATTTTCCTTTTGAGCCAATCCCAATAAAATAAAATGAGGGAAAGGAAGGACACTTACAAAGCCTATTGTGGAGGTTAAAGAGATTTTTTTTAATGAAGCTAAGCCTAAGGGCTAATGTTTCACAAATTATATAGGGAATGTCATATGGGTGACTTGTACAACACCTGAGTTTGATCAGATTTAATGCAGATAAGTCTAACTCTAGCCCTTTCCCTGCTTTCAGAAGGAATTTCGGATGAATACACAAATCAGGACCAGCCCCTTAAGAATGAAGCTCATGAATCCCTAGAAGCACCAATAAATCTACTGCCACCAGGAATAAACACTCCATTTAAGAAACCTGAGCTCACAGGAATTTAGGAGGTTCAGAAAGAAGCTTCATTAGAGCACTGGAAAGCACACTAGTATCTTCTAACAGGGTGAAAAACAGTTTTGATGGATGGGTGGGTTACAATTCAACAAGCACTCATGGTTATGATAATTATGAGGAAATCAGGACCTGTAACTCCAGTGGATTCTTGAGAATCAAAGACTGATAACTGGCAATGTCTAAGTAGAGCTTTCTTTAAAGTGTAAGCAAAGAAATCCATTTGAAATTTGAGTAGGTATTTGGATTCACTGCTTAAAGGCTAACTCTGATTAACTAATTGTGATATTCTAAATTAAACATTCCAAACCCAAATGTCCTGATTTCCAAGACCATGTAAATGAATACAATTATCATTCATAATACAGTTCAAGCTCTACTCTGTCTTGTCCTCTTCTGTACTACACAGGCAGGTACCACTCCACTCTCTTAGTTCCTTGAGCAACGATGGGCAGCAAGCAAAGCTCATTGCTTGAATATATGTTTTGTATGTTAAGGGTGCCAGGTTCAGCCCTTGGTATTTCCAATTTTTAAAAAGGATAATAATGTAAAGGATTCATACCATCAAGCCAAAGCTGTCACATGGTAAACAAAAGCAGTGGCTTATTGAAAATCTCAAGTATGGCCATGCTGTTCTATAGCCACACGGTAGCAATACCTGAACTCACAGCTTTCCCCCATCCCTGCCCCAGTCCTCCATGACACCTGCTACAAGAACTGCAGAACTATGGACAGATCACTGGGTCCAAGATGTCTGACCATGCCCTAGCACCAAATGCTTTATAACTTTCCAGGTTATGGCTACCTTTCCAAGGTCTGCTCCCATGGTGAAATGTAGGTATCATTAAAAGATCAATTCTTTAGCCTGGAGCCCAGCACTTTGGCACCTATTCCTTATATCTATCAGGTGCAGGAAGTGGCTGGCTTGTGCAATGGGAGACCTGGGTTCCTTGTTTGCATGTGTGTGGGAATGGATAGACCGCAGAAGAAGGTGCCTTGGGAACACTGTTTAAGGAATGCAGATCACCACTCTTAGGATTGAGATTAAGGACTGAAACTCACCCCCTTGAGAAGGACGCAGGTGAGCCTTAGCTGTTGCTTGGAACAAGTCCTATGACAGTTTGCAGGGCTGGTTTGTAGGATATCAGGGGGAAACTTTAGTTTAACAAACCAGGAAGTCTTCCTTTCATCGAGGCATGAGAAATGAGGAAGAGGAAAGAAAAGATAGGAAAAGGAAGTATTTGAGTTCATAACTCTTTCTACCACTATAAATTATAGTTTGTTGGACTAGGAATACCATGTCTGAACTGGGCCATTGAAAGTCACGGCTTGCACAGTAAGATTTTTAGCTGCCAAGTAAAGGGACAGACCTGGGTCTGATAAGCCATGTTGATACTATATAGTTGCAGAGTGGTGGAGAAAAGGAACCTTAACCTTTGCACCTTCTGCTTTCTCCAGACAACCCTTTCTTCCACAACTGATTTTGGCCACAGTGAACCAATGGTGTGTCCACAGCCTACTATGGAAGAGAGACTGATCAGACAGAGTGAGAATTAAGCATTTGTCCACCTGCCAGTTCTCTACTGCAAAACTGGGCTCTGTTCCACTAGTGCCACTTTTCACCAGTTTGGAGATGGTCTGGGTTTCCAGGGCTGGGCCTGCCACTGAACACCTGGTGCAGTTCCCTGACTTAGTTTTCCAAGTGCTGTTTTTATAGCCAGATCAGGGTAGCATTGCTGGGTGGATGACAAGACTGTGGTTCACTTTGCTTTTGCAGTGATCCAAAGAGCATTGTTCAGCTTTATCTTTAAATTTTATGATCCCATAACAGTATAACTGGATGCAGCTGGACTGCTCTGTCTCAGCTCTAGACAGCTTTAAAAAACAGTAATGGAAAAAATAGAACAAATAAAACATCTCATCAAATGGGACTCATAAAGACTTATGTGGCAACTGCTTTCTTTTCAGAACAACATTCTGGTGGCACAGACTCTCTGGAGAAAGAACAAGACCAGTAGAATCACCAGCCTCCACATTCTGAATTTATGGCAAGTACACCTTATATCAATAACACCAACATATCTTTTCTAGTAACTAGCTCTCTTCTATCTCTTATGTTCCTTTAATGTGAATGTTCCGCAAAAAAGGCAACATTTAACCCATAAAAAAGTATTTCTGAGTTATTTTATTGAAGAGCAGTCTCCACAATTTATAACAATGATATTTATCATTAATAAAGTGATTCCTTCCTTTCTTTTTAAAATCCTGATTATGATGCCTGTATTCATATCATGCACAAGTTAGGCACACTTCTTTGACATTGACGTTTGAAATTAAAAACAATATACTGTATTCAGAAAATCACTGTTGAGGAGAGTCAAGATCCAAGATATATTGCAGCCTTGGAAAATTATTTTACAGTAAAGAAGCAGGGAAGGAGAACTTCTTAGACTTTGCCCCACTAAATGCTTTCCCACAGAAATTCTCCTCTCCTGCTCTGTTTCTTTCTGTGGGGTTCTAGATCAGTGTTTGCAAGGCAAAGAAGTAAAGTGTGTCTGTGGTGGCACAGGGAGAAACAAAAACAGAAGGTTCAGGGGAAAGATCAACTGGAAGGAAATAAATGAACACCCCTTTCCAATGCCCACACTCTGCTATAAATTATCTTTCTCAAAGGGTTGTTGTTGTGGGGATAAGATGGAGGAGGAGATGTAAGCTGCCTTGAGCCCTTTGTAGGAAAAAGGCAGGATATAAACTGATAAAGGTACTCTTCAGCATAGACGGACAGTCTCTACTAATGTTGCAGGAGCAGAAATGCAACATTGTTTTTGGTATTTCTTGTACATTTGTCTTGTTTATTCATCTACCACTTTGATTACAGAAAGCTGGGATATAATTATTATAAGTAAAACAATACATGTAGCTTGGCTCTAAGGCTAGCCAGCCTGACAGGGCAGCTGTGAGGATGAGTGCTACATGTTGTAAACCAGTAATAAAGGCTGTGAAGTGCTTAAAGTAATATTTGGTTTTAATTTTTTTTTTGTAGCCATAGGCAACTCTTGTGCAAAACAAAGTTATATTAAACAAAAGAAGGTGAATAAATACTTCATATGGAAGAACATGCGATACTTTCTTTTTTAAAGATTCAGTGCTTTCCAACATTGCCTTATTCTGAAGGTGATCTTCATCAGTGTGCCCAGAGTAAACAGATGGATTGTCACTATTGTTGCAGCCACATTTTCCCACCCATTTAGCTAATGTGCCTTTTCAGATGCAGCCATGATGAGCTGTCTTAAGAGAATATGCCAATTTTTCATGTTTTGTGCAATAGTTTCTGTCTAGCTGCACTCAGTCTAGTTCATGAGGAAGTGGATCAAAGAAAAGGGGGCATTGCAGGACTTCTGGAAATGAAATGGTCTATGAAATACAGCAAGTTGTTGCAATCTACCTCCTGGATGTATTCCCCAATAATAGTAAACACATAAGGTGTTGAACCCAAATGTCCTCTACCCTAGGGATAGCATTCTTGGGGGGGAAAAGCTGGAGAGAGGCAGGAAAATCCCTGCCCCAATCCTGCCAAAAATAAGGTATCTGTGCCTATTTTTTGAAGAATACTTCAAGATGATGAAAATATAATCCTTCATTTTTCATTCCATCTATTTTGGCCTAACTTGGTCATGAGAATTTACCAGGATTCTCAGCATGATAGTGGGTGGCAAGTTATGCAAGACCTAGGACAGTGAATGCAAACAACTTCTGAGATTTTTGCTTTGCTGCAATTCCTTGTATGAGCACTAGCACTATTACCCAGCAGATATTAACATTTACAGCCTTGCTTGATAACCTAAGTGTCTCCTAATACTTTGGCAGTTTATTAGGAACTGAAATAGTAACAACTTCACTAAGAAGCAGTTTAGACTCCTTGCTGGTGTCAAAAGAAACCCTGAAATATAACATGGGTGCCAGGTCTCCTTCAATAAGATATTGCTGTCAGTATTGTTCCACCTGAGATTCTCATGTCATTGGATTTGGTAGAACCCTGTGAAAGCCAAAATAACACAATACTGATTCTCATTCTCAGACAGCTGCTCTGTATATGAACAGTCATTGCCCAAAGTCTTTGCACTGCTTGCAAGTAATATAACATTTTGTCTCCTGCATCCATTTAGGTATGTATTGGAAGAACTTGAAGGATAATTTTGCAATTACCTCCAAATATGCCAGCAAATACCAGAGGAAAGCCTGCTTCACAATTTTGAAAAATACTCCATGAGATAAGGCACCTCAGCAAACGGCTTTCAAGACCCAAACATGGAAGTCATGACTTGAGGATTTACATTATCAAAATAAATAGCTTAAAAACATGTTGATGATCAAACTGAAAGTATCAACTTCCAGGAAAAGTGATTTGTTACCTCAGATATAAGAAAAACAGTTGAATCATTAGGGCTTGAAATTTATTACAAATCTCAAAATAAACTACTTTAGAAATAAAACTACCAATTCTTAGGGAAATGTGTTGTGGACCATAAAAGGCAAACAAAAGGATAAGCAAATTCAACAACTGCTTTTGATGTTTGCAGTACTGTTAGAACGTATCAGATTTTCTTTCATGCATGCAAAGTGCCTTACCTTTAATGCTGGTCTGGAGCGTTTTTTAAAGTGAAGTTTTGGCTTCTCGATCACAGGAAGAGAGGGGAGTTTTTGAAGTTCTTGCAGGACAGCTATTGCAGCACATTTTTTTGACAGTTTCTTGCTGTTTCCTTCACCTTCTGCAGAGAAGTCTCCCACTGACACTCGAGTAACAAAACTCTTCATATGTGGTGGCCCACTTTCCTTTATCACCTATTGGCCAGGAAAGGATAAGCAAATAAAACAATTACATTATTCATATCCATCACAAGAAACTGCATTTATTATAAAGAAGTACAGGGGCATATGGCTGGTATATATTCATTGCTAATAAATTTTGCTAAAGAAGTGTTGATCATTTATATTTTACTCATAGTGGATTTTCATGTATTCATCAGATTTTTCAAGCAAGCAATCCCTTTCTCAAATTAAGTTTTTCGCATTAGAACACCCTTGAAATCTGATTCTAACTATCCTAACTCAGAAGGAAATTCCACTGATTTCCAATGGAAAAGCCTTCACAGGTTAGTGGCCATGCTTAGTGATCCCCTGGGGAATACATATAGTCCATTGGTCCATAAGATTTTTCAGATTTCCAACTCTGAGATTGGGGTCAGCGTTCTCACCAACAGCACCAACGGCTCTCTGAGCTCAGGAAACCAGCTTCAGAGAGAAGTAAAGGGGGTGGATCAGGATGCAGAGAGGGGAGAAAATCCTGCCTCTTTTCTGGCAGTTTCTGGAGGCTTACAGGCATTGCGATGTGGTTGTGCCCTTACAGACAGAACTGCAAAATCCCCAAGCTGAAATTCAGCATTACCTTGAATTCACTAGGTGACCTTAGGAAGCTATTCTCATCAATATGGAAGATTAACAATGCATTTAATTTATTGTAAGGATTACAACTAGACAATACAAGTTAAGTGCTTTTAGAACTTGATGACCAATATGAATGCATGCATATATAGTCTCTTCTAAATAAGGGCACAATTCTATGCATGTTTTGGCAAATAAGTCCTAGAATATGCATAGAATTTCCATAAGCATTCGTAGGACTGCAGTATTAATATTCCATATTTCATGGAATTCAGGCATGCTTACAATTCTTTGGATTGCATTCCATAAGGAATCAATTGATTAGACTCCATTATTGATTTATTATTCCTTTCATCTTAAAACTGGGATTGTACATGAGAGAAGAAAACTGTTAAGTTGGAAGCTCCATGGCTTAAAAAGTGGAAATCACTCTTTGTAACCACAGTTATGGTACATAGGTACATAGGAAACTTTATGGTCTGCTAGCCTAGTATTGTTGATATTGAATGGTAGTAGCAATCCCAGATATTGAATTTGGGACCTGCTTCATACAAAGTAGGTGCTCTACCTCTAAAAAAAGGTTCTCTTCCTTATACCAAGGGCAGGGAACCTCTTTTCTGTTGAAGGCTGAAGTCCCTCAAAGGAAATCTGCCAAGAGCTGCATGCTGCTGAAAGTACAGCCAAAGCCAAACATGGACAGCTTTTTTTATCCTTCCTTCTCTCTTCCCCTTTCTACTTCCTGCTTCACTCTCTCTCTTCTTATACCATGTTCTCTATCCACCACTGACCTATACTTTCCATAGGTATGGAAGAAAACATATAGATAGGAGAGTGTTCAGCAGAGATAGCATAAAAACAAACTCTAACATGTTCAGTGGAATAGAGTGATGGATTTGGGAGTGCTGGGCTCAAAGGTGTGCTAGGGGAAAGGCAACAGAGAGACTTTATACTGAATTCAGAAAATGTATTTGATGGTGCAGTAATAAGCATCCAACATTCACCTCTGGCTATTTGAAAATAGTTTCCCCCTAATGTTTGACACATGAGTCTTGTAGGTGAAAGTCAGGGGACATGCCACCGATCATCCCCTACAAATAGATCTTAATTCAGATTAACTCATAAAACAGGCATTTAGGAATTCATGCTTATTGTGATCATGAATAGTTTCATATTGGATATTATCTGAGTATACTGGTAATGTTGATCTTTTGCCAGGTACCTTCAGGCTATTGGGCAGAATAAAAATGAAACAAACAAATAAGTAATGTTCAACTTTTCTGGAGACAAACCCTGATATACAAAGTTATATACCTCTGTGGGAAAGACCTGAATGTGCCACAGGAAGCTTCTTTGAAGTATCTACTTTAGCCATGCATATTGTTGAACAAACGAACAAGCAATATTGAGACTTGCCACTTCAGCAATAGCTGCATGGAAAATTCAAAGAAATGTGGCCAATCACTCCCCTTATAGTTTGGTCATAAGCCAGATTAAAAACCTTTTGACTCTGCTGCCTATTAAATGGCAGCATTCTGCTTTTCCAGAAATGGAATGGTGCTTCAACTGTTTACACTAGTTACCTCCATCCATAATAGATTAGATTGTGATTTGTTGTATAGAAAAGAGAAGGCCAATGCTCACAGCACATATTGGTGCATGTCAGAATTGCAATATCAATGTCAGAATTTGCAGCTCTAGAGGAAATTATATTTCTTAGTGGCTAACAGGGAAAGGGTAGGAGAAGCTAGGAATGCTCACTTTACTGGCTTTTAGGCCCTATTCCAGACTCCACTGTAAAGAGAGTGAGTTGTTCCACTGGACACCGTGTTGGGCCCCTATGAATGACAAAATATCACAATTGGTAAGGGAATGCTGCAGTAGTAATGCCACAGCAAAGTCCGTATATATATAAACAGTACAATCACTGGAAGTGGTGTTTTTAAAAAGTTTTATAACATAAAGCTTCCACCATTACAGTTACTAAAATGTGTGGAATCTATTAACACTGCTGAAATTTTAGAAGGATAGCTATAGATATAGTTATCATAGTTGAGGATTGCTATTAAAGCTTTAGCCACAACCATTTCAGCAGTGTTGAAGGTGTGCATAAAGCTGCTGTGCCTCGATACAGCAGCCTCCCAAATCTGGAGCTATTGGCCATGCTGAAAAGGAATTATGGTATCTGCAGGCCAACATGTTTGGAGGGCACCAGGTTGGGGAAGGCTGAGCTTCTCACATCACTGATGGCTATTTATGAACCTTCCTCATTTGGCCAGTTGTCTTTTTTTTTTTTTTTTTTTTGGCATTCTTGGAAGGACATAAGGCTAAATAAATATGTTGTTGTTAGTTGCGAAGTCGTGTCTGACCCAACGCGACCCCATGGACATTCCTCCAGGCCTTCCTGTCCTCCATCATCCCCCAGAGTCCACTCAAGCTCACACCAACTGCTTCAGTCACTCCATCTAACCACCTCATCCTCTGCCGTCCTCTTCTTGTTTTGCCATCTATTGTTCCCAGCATTAGACTCTTCTCCAGGGAGTCCTTCCTTCTCGTTAGGTGGCCAAAGTATATGAGTTTCATCTTCACTATCTGGCCTTCTAAAGAGCAGTCAGGGTTGATCTCCTCTAGGACTGACCGGTTTGATCGCCTTGCTGTCCAAGGGACTCACAGGAGTCTCTGCCAGCACCACAATTCAAAGGCCTCAGTACTTCGGCGCTCAGCCTTCCTTATGGTCCAACTTTCACACCCTTACAATGCAACTGGGAAAACCATAGCCTTGACTATACGCACTTGTGTTGGCAGGGTGATGTCTCTGCTTTTTATTATGATGTCTAGATTTGCCATAGCTTTCCTCCCCAGGAGCAAGCGTCTTCTAATTTCTTGACTGCAGTCCCCATCTGCGGTGATCTTGGAGCCCAGGAAAATAAAATCTGTCACTACCTCCATTTCTTCCCCATCTATTTGCCAGCAAGTGAGAGGACTGGATGCCATGATCTTAGTTTTCTTAATGTTGAGTTTCAAGCCAACTTTTGCACTCTCCTCCTTCACCCGCATCAAGAGGCTCTTTAGTTCCTCTTCACTTTCTGCCATGTGAGTGGTATCATCTGCATATCTGAGGTTGTTGATATTTCTCCCAGCAATCTTAATTCCAACTGGTGATTCATCTAGCCCCGCCTTTCTCATGATGTGCTCTGCATATAAGTTAAATAGACAGGGCAACAGTATACAGCCTTGCCGAACTCCTTTCTCAATTTTGAACCAATCAGTGGTTCCATGCCCAGTTCTCACTGTTGTTTCTTGACCCACATATAGGTTTCTCAAGAGACAAATAAGATGGTCAGGTACTCCCATTTAAGAACTTGCCACAATTTGCTGTGATCCACACAATCAAAGGCTTTCGCATAGTCAATGAAGCAGAAGTAGATGTTTTTCTGGAACTCCCTCGCTTTCTCCATGATCCAGCGTATGTTGGCAATTTGATCTCCAGTCCCTCTCCCTCTTCGAAATCCTGTGTGTACTTCTGGTAGTTCTCGGTCCACATACTGCTGGAGCCTAGCTTGTAGGATTTTGAGCATAACTTTGCTAGCATGTGAAATGAGTGCAATGGCGCGGTAGTTTGAACATTCTTTGGGATGTTGGCATTGCCCTTCTTTGGGATCAGAATGTAAACTGACCTTTTCCAATCCTGTGGCCACTGCTGAGTTTTCCGAATTCGCTGGCATATTGAGTGTAGCACTTTTACTGCATCGTCTTTTAAGATTTTGAATAGCTCAGCTTGAACACTGTCACCTCCACTAACTTTGTTGTTCCTCAGACTTCCTAAGTCCCATTTGACTTCACATTCCAGGATGTCTGGCTCGAAGTCAGTGACCACCCCATCGTGGTTATCAGGGATGTTAAGCTCTTTCTTGTATAGTTCTTCTGTGTAACCTTGCCATCTTTTCTTAATCTCTTCTGCCTCTGTTAGGTCCCTGCCATTTTGGTCCTTTATCATGCCCACCTTTGCATGAAACGTTCCCTTCATATCTCCAATTTTCTTGAAGAGATCTCTGGTCCTCCCTATTCTATTGTTTTCTTCTATTTTTTTGCACTGTTCATTTAAGAAGGCATTCTTATCTCTTCTAGCTATTCTCTGGAATTCTGCATTCATTTGGCTGTATCTTTCCCTTTCCCTTTCTCCCTTGCCTTTCACTTCCCTTCTTTCCTTAGCTATTTATAAAGCTTCCTCAGACAGCCATTTTGCTTTCTTGCATTTCTTTTTCTTTGGGATGGTTTTAGTTGCTACCTCTTGTACAATGTTGTGAACCTCCATCCATAGTTCTTCAGGCACTCTGTCAATCAGATCTAATTCCTTAAATCTATTTGTCACCTCTACTGTATATTCATCAGAGATATGATTT